GAACAGGGCGACGCCTGTAACCTTTTCGTTTTCCTCAAACAGCACGATACATTAAGTCACAGGTTCACTAAAGTTCATCTCAAATGAAGAAAAACAAATCCAAATTAAATTAAAATAAAATAAAAGCCACATAGGAAGAGAACCCAGAGAAACACACACCTGTCTCCCTCAAACCTTCAGAGCTGCGAGGCGCCTGGTTGGTTCTGATTGATGAAGCCTCAGGAGGCAGGCAGAGTGTGTTCTGGGCCTCACACGGCTCACCTTACACCCTGGACTTTTTAAAGCACAGTCCTCCCCGACCCTTGACCCTGTTTCTATAAAACCAAGACTGAAGGAAAGATTGAATGGAAATCCAAGCTGCTGCTCTACAACATTTATATGAATTCATCTGGTGGTGTGTGCAGCTTCTCTCCACACATGTTGCTAACATTTACAGTGTATTCCTGGTTAGAGGTGAACCAGGGGCACATCGTCCCACCGCTTCCTCCCCCTGACCACCAGGGGTCACTCTTTATGTGGAGGAACTGAGAGGTGGGAGGCCTGCTGTTACATCGTTTTGCCTGCGTTTCTTTTTAATTGTATTTGTTTAGTTTTTACTCCGCTGTGTTTTCTTGTTCTCTCTGAGGTTTAACTCCACCGCCCTGCTTTCTTTTCACTTGTTTTGTAGGAGATGCAGAAACACACAGAGCAGAAGAGTGGGAGAGAGAGAGGGAGCGCGTGTTGTGATCCATCAGCTGTTCTGCAGCGTCGACAGCTGCCCCTCGCTGCGCTCTCAGCCCATCTCTTTCCACTGACGGTAGAACTCCACGATGTTCTTCAGCTCCATGCCCGCCGAGCCCACGGCCTGGACCGCCGACTGAAAACGAGACGAAGCACTTAAAACGACCAGCTCAACAACTAAAACTGCCTTTAATATAACAAGAACAAACCTGGAGGCAAAAGGAAAACACATCGAGAAACTAAAGTCAACTAGAGAAATTCATTTCCTGCAAACATGCTAGTGTGAAAGCTTCTTGCTGAAAACTTCAGCTGAAAATATTTAACAGCTAAAGTGTTAATGCGAGTTCAACTTTGAAAAGCTGAAAGAAGAAAAAAAAGCCTAACTTTGCAGAAAAACAATAAAAAGGAGCAAAAATATAGTTGAAAAAGCAGAAAACTGTGAGAAACATAAATACAACAAATTCACAGAAAAAAAGAAAAAGAACAGCAAAAGGAAGCAGATTTATGATTTAAATTGCAAAAATAAGAAGCTAAAATTAGCATAGAATAAGCTAAATGTAGCAGCCACAAGTTGTAATTAGCACCAAAATAGTGAAAGTGTTGTAAAAATTTAAAATTAGCAGGAAAAAAGCATAAAAGTACAAAAAAGTGACAATTTGTAGTAGGGGTGTAAGAAAATATCGATACACTGAAATATCGCGATATTTTATTTCCCGATACTGTATCGATATTCTAAAGCCCTGTATCGATTTTTAATTAAGGTTTAAAATGTCAACCTTCTTGCCAACCGTTCATTTTTATGTTGTAGTTCAGCCTCTGACCACTAGTTGGCAGCAGTGAGCCAGCCATTTGGCTCCTCTACCTCTTGAGCTCCAGAGAGTAAGACAGCATTAAGCACTGTGAGTAAACATTAGCTTTTCTTTTTTTTTTCAGTAAGAGGTTTTTATTTAATAGAATTTTTAGACAAAAAAATCGCAATATTTCGCAATATATTGCCTTGCTTACAGTATCCCAATATATCGGGATATATCGTATCGTGACCCCTCGGTTATGATATGTACCGTATACCAATACACAGCCCTAAAGAATACAGTTTGATTATCAACCATAGTTTCATACAGACACACACAGGTGGAGCACAGTTGTGTTGGTTTATCCTCTCACATAAGTCTTATAATGTGTGTGTAAAGGACACACTGGAGGGGGGTCTGGGGGTCCGCCCCCAGAAAATTTTGAATAAATTAGAAGCTATTTCCTGATTTCTAATGTATTTTAACAGGTAGTTAAAGATACTTTTACCTACATAAATAAATAACTGATTTAATGACTGGAGACAGATTCTTCATTAAACTAGTTGCATCGTCCTGTTTTTAAATTCAGTTATAACTCAGATAATTAAATTAATGTGACAAATTATCCCAAACAAGCTTAGAGGAGGTTTTTACATTTATTTATAAGATCGATAGGTGGATGTTTGGAACTGATTAGAAAACTAATGATTGATGGATTTACAGATTTGTTTACTGTCCTTTATTTAACTGGGAAAATCCCAATTATGAAAACCAATTTGTACCACTTCCTATAAAAAAGTTACATTTAAATAAGCCTATCATTTTTATACTGGTTAAAATAAAATAAATTGTTAAGCATGCTGTAGATTGTCTTTAGATCTGTATTCATTACATTAAGTTCACACAGCTGACTAGAATTACTCAAAATAAAATTTATTTTCCCCTTCACACCTGCCCATCACCTTCATCTCTTACCTGAGACACTCTGTCCTACCTGAGACCCTCTGTCCTACCTGAGACACCATTTCCTACCTGAGACACCCTGTCCTCCTACCTGCTGCCTCTGACTCTCTGTGGCTGCGTCTCAATTCGTGGTCTGGGTCCTCATGAGGACCCAGCCTAGCTGGGCCGCGAAGGCCACACACTCCAAAGACCGGGTGGGCTGGGCGAAACCGTTTAAATGGGACGTTGTAGCCTTAATTTTTGCGTGACCACGTGGTTCCGCCTTACGTGCAGCAAACGTGTTCAGCGACCGACCACGTACTTCCGCCTAGTTTGCAG